ACGGATACGCCAGAGAGTGTATCCAGCTTTGAGCTTGGCATCGGGGAAATATCGATTGACTTGTTTCATGGAAGAAGTCTGCTTAATTTAAAAGATTCCAATGAGCAGCTTTTGAAGGTATTCAAGCTCTATACGGGTTACAGCAGCGAGGGTGTTATGACCCCAGTGTTGGTTCTGCTGACGGACAGGACACTGTATGTGGCAGATCTGGCAGATCAGGTTCGTCTCTGTGCCAAGTTCGTTTTGGCCTACAAAGACTTGGATGTCATTTTGGTAAGAAGAGAATCCGTTGCGACATCTACTACTACTATTGTATCTGGATTATAATCCGAACTAACCTTTTTTAAGATGGGTCCCTTCGGCAATACGGTTCTACTGAGCAACAGCATGCGGGACATGCAGCAGGTTTTACTGGCAGGTGGACCATATCCAGCAGGATCCCTAGTTGCCAATTTGGAGCTTTGTGCCAGACGCAGCGGCGCCACTCTACCGGCTGTGGGTCAACTGACATTGGAGCATTTGGCCCCGCTGCAGGCTTTTGTTCGAGCCAACAGCTGTGTGGGCAACGACGAACACTGGCTATTCTATGCCGTTGTCAATGTGCCAGCTGGCGATGCACTAAGAGCAGATTCACCTGGTGAGCCACTGGGGCCATCTATTAAGGGATTCCTCATGCACCGCCGGTTTAAGGAAACAGCAACCACGACAGCAGCGAGCAGGGTCTACTGGCAGGCAGGATACTTTTCATTGAAGTCCGTGTTCTGAGGCGTTTTAGAGATCAATTATTGAAATGGTAATACTTTTTTGTAGAGCCGGCGTCTTGTATATGTTCAACGACTCCACACAGACGCGTCCTAGTTGGGCCATGGCTCTTGCCGAGTGTCAAGGTGCCCGACGGACTCTCAAGTCCGAGCGCCCCCATTGCTTTGAGATTATGTTAAAGGGTGAACTCCTCCAAATGGCCGCACCGGATGAGTATGTGGCATCCGAATGGTTGCAAGCCCTTATCCAGTCAGCCACTGGCGTAAGTCATGATACAATACAGTGAGAATTTACTTTTAAATCTGTTAAATAATATTATTTCGTTCCAGCATTTGATACCGCAAGAGAAACACAAAACCTTGGGCTGTACTCTAATCGTTACGGAAAATCACTTGATAACCTTGCGTGAAGATTTCTCGGCACCCTTGAGGCCACTTATCCATCAAGTTGATACCAACGTGGTTCCACAAACCAAACAACTCTTATATGAAGAAGAGCTGTTGAGTGTTTTTGAAACAAGTAGCCTGGTACGTGATCGGAATATCGTAAATTGCTGTAAATAATAACCATATTAATATATTTCTTGCAGATGGGCTCCACAATGAGTACACCGACTCGGGGGACTCAGCGGTCTTTCTCTTCTCTGAGCTCCACGCCTACAAAGAATGGAAACGATCCGGATATGTCTAAGGAAAATACGTCCTCTCCGGGAAAATCTCAACGAATGAGTAGTGTATATGGAAAGAACTCTGGTCTGGCGATACTCACGTGTGGGGACATCAAAGCCATGACTGGCATTAAGATAACCTCGCGTGCGGAGACCTGGTGGTGCATACTGGAGTTTTCGTGCCAGGAGGCGCCCTTGGAGAGTCTCGATGATTTGGTAATCTTTTTTGCCAGCAGCATGGAAATGCAGCGATTTTTGCGATTACTGGAACAGCTTTGGCAGGCAAAGAATGTATGTCACACAAGGACTAATAGCCTGATTCTTTTACCGATTGCATCATTTCGTTCCACTTTCAGAACGATCTCTTTCCAATAACAATACTGGACGATGGTGAAGATTTGGCCGAGCAGTGCACCCTTCTCTATATAGACACCAATCGAGCATGGGAGCCCTTGCTATCGGCGGCAATGGGTTATGACGCTTAATGCTCAAAGCTTATACCACATTTAGTACATATATACTCCATTTACAAACCTATACAAAATTTATTTCCATAAATACTACCTATGGTATATCTAAAGTGTTAAAAATACTATCCAGAATACTCAAACTAGCTAAAGAACAAATAACTTAGTATTTATATGCGTACGTAGTCGGTATTGTGTGTATTATGATTTTTGAATTGCCTGCTGCCTTCGCTTGACCATGTATTTCCATTGATTTGCGCTGTTATATCTACATTGTATGTATATTTTTGTGATATTAAACATAAACATTTCTAATCATTTTCCTAGGTTGTATTTCAGTTAAATATATTTGTTTTCTAAATTAAATACTCTTACCTTTGATAAATATACAAACACGATACGTAAAAGAAGCTACATGGTGCTGATGGTAATATGATAATATTTTGTATGGAATCGCTGGTCGTTGTTGGTTTAAGGATGGTCTACTGTTATGTCCAGTACAGTATAATATGTTATATTTCGGGGGGGATTGGATTTGGTTTTTTACAGAATTCCGCATTTCAATGCATGCAATGCTTTTTCAATTAGCAAAGATTAAATTCCTTGCCCCCTCACGCACTCTGCCCCAGCCTCAGCTCAACCTTTGCCGCAAACTCATAATAATTAATAAAATGAATAAACGTGATTATGAACCTAATTTTTATTGTATCTTAAGCTCTTTGAATGATGTGTTGAGCTGTCCGAGCAAGTGTGAGGTTTCTTCCTTTTCTCTAGGCCGGGTATTAGCTGCAGCAGCAAGGGGGGGTATGGTATGGTAGTATGAGTGGGTACATATGTATTGTACACATGTACATGCATGCCTCTCGAAATGGGGGTCTTGAGAGGATGCTGAAGAGGAATACGAGTTAAGTGTGTGCCTGTACATACCTGCAGGTACATTTTACTCATATTTCATAAACACATACATACATGCATACATATATATGTATATGTATATGCATATGTATGCACATGTGATATAAATACATACATATGTACATATGTATATACCCACAACTAAACAGCACCCAGTGCCGGTGATCGAGTAACACGGAAACTTTCCGACATCATTTCGTACACTTATGCGGCCTGATGAGCAAAACTAATAATTATTATAATTGGAAAATGTGGATATAAATTCATTATAAACAACAATGTACATGCATACATACATACATATGTACATATGTATGTAACAGTTGCAGCTCAAAAATCAAGCTAAACAAAGCATTGCATTCAATCGTCCAAGAGAGAGGGAGAGAGAGTGAAAGAAAAAAACACACAGAGAGAGAGAGAGAATGAGGAATAAGGAGAATGGGAGAGAAACGTAAAAAACTCCAACCCTCTTAATAAGTCAAACGAGTAGAAGACAAGACTGCAACAGGAAAAAACAAGAATGAGAAAAATATACATACAAACATACATATGTACGTACACACACATTTGAGCATATAAAGAGAATTTCCAGTCGCAGCGACTTGAATATGCGCTACTACGTTTTGGATATTAATTTCAACAAGTTCAAAGAATTGGCAGCCCATGCATATATTCGTGTTCCCAAATAAGCAATACCGATAAATGCATGCATGTATTTATGTACGTATGCATGTATGGCAGTCTAAAACACTCAACTCCATATTTGATTGCTTGATCCTATCCAACGTATGCAGATGCAGTGGATCTAGAAAAGCTAAAACACTTGCGGACGCTTGAGAGAGAACACAGCTCTTGGCTCTTGGCTGTGTTCATGCTTTCTTTTGCTGCTGGACTCACTTTCATTAATACAAGCATTGGCGAGCAAACGCAGCAGCAGAATCAAATGCAACGAGAGCAATGCGCCCGAGAATGCTCGCTCTTCTCTGTGCCTCTCTCTCTCTCTCTGTCTCTCTAGGCAAACAGATCCCAGATACATGCACACACCGTATGTATGTATGTGCGCTCGCATGTAAACGTATAAGTGCACAGCAATACCACACAACCCCAAAAAGTTGGAAAACCAAATAAAAATACAAGGCGCATTGTGTGTGCGTTTTCTTGTTTCAGATATCACCGACTTTTGAATGCACTCTGAATAATGTCGCCATATAGAGGTATAATTTCATGTACAGTGCATTTTGGGCGATCTGTGAACATTTGGTAAGACAGCAGAGAGCATAAATACATCTCTGACTCATGTCCTGCATATTTTTTGTTCATAAACCACACAACATACTAATTCGAAGCGAAACGAAACGAAACGAAACGCAAATGTACAACTAAATCCACATTCAAAAAGTCATCCTGCTTGGCGCTGTTGTCAATTCATTGTTTTTGCTTCAGCAGCAACAAAAAAGTAGCTCATCTCAGTCGAAAACCAGTTTTTATGCTGTTAACCGGTTTTCATCCTGATAGCTTACAGCGAATTTCGTGTCTCGCTGTGTCTGTGGCTCCGACTGCGTCAGTTCCAACATAAATTGCAGTTCGCTTGCACAGAAGATATTCAGCAGCGGACTAATTCTAGCATTTGGCTAATCGAGAGGAGAGGTTGGGCAAGTGTCATATGCCCAACGCTCAATGCAGCAAAATGTAAGGAACGTACAAATAAACGCGCATTTTCCAGAGAAGTAGAAAAACTTCCACCCTCAAAGCGGCACACAACATGCGCGCTTACATACACACACACATACACACACTACACATAGATACTCAGCGAACTAACACAAACATGTAAGAATGCTGCAGTCGACGAAGAAATAAGTGTAAGGTCTATTCGACGGCTGCATACCGAGTACCTGCCTCCATCCCAACATATGCCACGCTCAAAACAGGAATTATCACTTCGGCTTAAATATAAATAAACGGCTAGAGGGACACGCACTCGGGGCATGTTTCAAAATTGTTCCCTTTTTCAGGCTCCGCACGTTCATGTGCACAAATCGAACAGGCCTAATATACCCGAGTAACAGCCGATGGTATGTCACTGTCATTTGCGTCGCAGTCGCTGCCGCCGTCCGCGTTGTGTCTGTGTTGCCTGCCCCAGTGTTTCCGCTTTCTTTCGTTGTAATGTTACTTTTAGTTTGAATTCGGAGCCTCGACGAGCCGGTTGGAAGCGAGATTTTAGTTTAATTCTGCTTGGGTGTGTGCGTGTTTAGTTTAAACGAAATTGAAAGTTGTACACTTTACTACCCCCGAAAAAGCGAAGCACAGCATAAAATTGTGCGCTCATACGCGCGCGTTTGCGACTGTGTGTGTGCGTGTGTGTGTGTGTATGTGTAAACGCGAGCGTGTGTTTGCATTAGTTTTTGTGTGTGTGTGCCACGCCACGCCACACCAACGGAAACCAACCCCCACCAACAACAGAATAAAACAAGAAAACAACAACAAACAAGAAAAGTTAGCACCACCCACTCTTGGAAAACTGCCGCATAGAGTTCAGCGTCATCGTCATCAACATCACCGTCGCGCCGTAGCCGTTGTTGCCGTTTCATCATTGCCTGTGCTTGTGCCTGTGCCTGTGCCTGTCTCTGGTTTCGGCTTAATAGCGATCGGGGATCGCGTTGTGTAAATTGTGCAAAATATACATACATACATATATCTACTATAGTGTAACGGATAAGTGAAGCAAACCGATTTGAGAATACAAGATCTATACAAGCTATTTGCCGAGACGAGGCGAGACCCCCCCGCCGCCCGTCCCCATCCCGCCGTGACAACCGATAGCCGACCCGACAAACTGCTATGATGAATTTCTCCGCGTTTGGTGGCCCGTTCTCTGGCATACATCAATTTGCCGCTAAATTTGATGCACAAACGCCGGGTGCATTTGGAACGCCGCCTGCGAACGCAGCAGCCGCTGCAGCCGCAGCAGGATCCGATAATCATGTACAGCGCTATCAGACCAATGGCAATCATTTTAATCAGAATGTGGCCAACGGTAAGTGCATATACCAACTCCCATACAGAGGCAAGCATGCACGTGCTTGTGCGAGAGTGTGAGTGTGTATGAGTGCGTGTATGTGTGCGTGCTTGTATGTATGTATAACATAATCACTAAAAATTTATTTTATTTTTATCGATTTATTTTCGCCCCGCTGCTAGCAGTTCAGCAGCAGCGACGGCGACGTTTACGGCAACGGCGACGCCGCCGCCGACGCCAGCGTCATAGCGTCAGGGCATACACTCTCACTCGGCAGCGACGATGTTCGGCTGCCGCTTATACCCGCCTGCCTCTATGCCCTACACAACGCTTCGGTTCGGTGTATTATGTATCGATGGTATGGAAGGAACGGAACTGAGCTGGACTGTTGTTTTGTTGGATATTTTATATAGGGAATTACGTTTGTTTTTCGTATTATGCTTGGTAGATTCGATTGGATCCGAATGAGTCCAGGTTAGAGGACCTTTAATTTTTGGTTCGCTTCTTTATTGTGGTCTAGGCCTCGCTTTAAGATTATGACCGTTTTGTGTCCGCATCGCTTGCAGGTTTCTAGTTTCGAGGAACTGCAAGTGAAAGGAAGAATCATTTCGTGCACATACAAACATACACTTTTGTTGTGTGTGTGTGTGTGTACATATGGATATATTTCCACCCCCATCCCTTATAGCACTAGTAGACATCTTCATACGAGGGCTAGTCCAATTTGTAAACCGCACTACAATTGGGGGTTGGTGAGCGGGGAACGGAACGACGACTTATACCCTGTCATCAAAGCAGAATATAACGATTTTTTTTTGTTGTTTTTGTTTTGCGCTCTTTTTTTTATATATATATTCTACTCTATGTTTTGAGTCATTACCACCCACCCCCTTTTCGGCTAGTGGGTGTAAGCTTGCGAGTGCGAGTGTGCGAATGTGCGAATGGGCGAGTGTGTGTGTGTGTGTGTGGCTGCTGCTGCTGCCAGTTTTTCTTGGTGTGTTGCTGTGTGTTTTGCTTGGCTTGAAAATGCAATGAACTCAAATAACTTTTGAATTTGCTGCATTTCACTTTGTTGTTTGGTCGGGGTGGGTTTTTCTCTCGCAGCTACTTAAGCACATACATAGAAAATACAATTAAACAGACACACTCACACACACACACTCGCGTATGGTACATATAGGACAGTATACAGATGTATGTACATACCGTACGTACGTACGTGTGAGCACAGTTTACAACCCCCAACCAAAAAGCGCCTGCTATTGCTTTTTTAATTGCACTGACTTCCTGCCAAGTTGCAATATTTCTTGTGGAAGGGTGTGACCGACCGACCACCATGCAACCCCTACTGGGCCTTCAATTGCTCACCTCTCTCCCTTCCTTCCTGCGCTCGTGACGCGAATACATAGGGCAAGCCAGGCATCCTAGTTCCAATCACCCCCACTTCTTCTCCATAACCATTTCCATCTCCATCTCCTTATCAATTCTAATTAGTTGCATTTTCTTGCATAATTGGATTCCCCGGCCAGGCATCGCACCATCCCCCCCCCCCATCCTTCAGAGCACACATTTCATAATTTATTTTTGCTATGGCAACAATGGCTCTGCTCTCGGACATATGTTGTATGCATTTATTGGAAAGTGAAGAACTAAACGCAGACCCAAACTCCACGGCTCCCGAGGTTCATTGATCCCGGCTTTTGAGCTACGCATTATATTTCCAGTTTAGCGTTTTATTTTATTTTTTTTTTGTATTTTTCTTTTACCTGCTATAACAGGAAAATGCCTGTGCTGGTGTGCGTGCGTGTGGGCTGCTCTTTTATCTCTCTTTTATATACATACATATAGCTGTACGTAATCTATGCAGTCCGTGTGCCTCTGCCTCTGCCTGTGCGTCTCTGTGGTTGATCCCATGCAGGCGGCAGGTAAACTGTCCCACGTCGACGCCGGCCCGGCACTCGGGCTACTGCGTTTTCCCGTCGCCTATTAGCTGTATTATCGCTGGCAGCGCCGGTAGCTATCTTCCATGCAGATGCATTCGAATATCTAGTAGTTTCGTCGTCGCTTTTCGGTTGTAAAAATTGTTATTAGGCTACCGGGAAATATGCAGATATCGCCGCTCGCCTCAATAGAAGATGGTGTGGCCGAGATAGGAAAACACGCGTGAGTCATTTTCTCGGAATAAAGCGAGGATTTTCTACATCTTGAGCAAATAAAGTTATGGCCCGCGATTGGGAAAGACAACAGCTACTAAGCGGCTTAAGTAAATCTGTTGGCACTCGTTAAATTGTGGATTGTATGTACATATTACCGGACACCAACGGGTATCTTGTTGTCGAGGACAACAAGGGGGCGGGGGGGGGGGGGGGGGGGGGGGGGGAGGTCTAATGTGCCAACGCAGACACCCAGGCCATAAACCATTTGCATTTTTATGTACCTATGTACACACATTTGTACATATGCCAGAGTGTGAATGGTGGCGGCTGGTTACACCCCCAACGTTGCCGGGATGTATGCAACACTAAAAATGTGCGCATGATAAAGCAGTGAGGAAGAGAAGGAGACCACCCCAGCACCCATCCCCCATCCCCCCACCCCTTTCATCAGTAAATGAGTATCAGTATTCCATGATTAGTTCTTCCCCATTCTACCGAATAACTTTAAGACTTAAAGCGGCTGGAGAATCATAGAATCGTTGTTGTCATGCTGGCGCGCTGATGACTTAAACCCTGCTACTGGCGCCGTGTATCCCCTCCCCGCCCCGCCCCCACCCAGCCTTTCCTCAAACATTGGACTCTCATACCAACAACCGCAGCAAACTTCGGGTCAAATTTCGCCCAACTCTAGGGGTTGCAGTTTTTCCTAACCACGCCATGGGATGGTCTCTCTCTCTCTCTCTCAAGTATCAACTCTCTTTCGTTCATTCTGTCACGCGGCCGCCACTCTCTCTCTCTCCATATCACTCCCTCACTCTCTGTGTTTTTGGCGCGGGCGCTCTCATCGCTTTCACTGCCTCTCACACACACACACCCCCACTCACCCACACACACACGAATGCAAGCATCTATATGTATGCCGTCACTACAGCCGACACACATAGACATACATAGATAGGTCCAGATAACCGCCATCCGCCATGTTTTCCAAATCGTAGCCCCTGTCCCCCCCCCCGCCCAAACCATCGCCCATCCCCCTAATGGCGTATTCCTTTCCATTTTGTTCCACTTTGATGTGAATGATCCGCCCAGGAACCCCACTTGAACTGTCAAAGCCCGCCATTGTATGGGGTCTCTCTCTCTCTCTCTTTCTCTTTCCGTGTGCTCCGTGTTCCGTACTCCGTTCTCAGTTTGGGGCGCCTCGCTCTTACTCTCCCTTCGGCTGGCCTGGCCCCTGTTTCAACTTCACCGACTTTAACTCGTTGCTCGGCAAAATGGCAACAACGGAGGCGACACCGACACCGACATCGACATCGACAATGTTCTCTTCTATGTTGTCGTCATCGTCATCCTGTTTCATGGGAAAGTGAAGTGAAAAGTGAAATGCTATGAGCAACGCAACGCAACGCATGCCGGCTCCCGTCCACGCATGCCATGCCTCCTATTTTGTGTTGTTGCTATGGCTTCATTGTAGTCTCTTCTCCTTCACTCATCTTCGTTGATAACATTTGAACTTCTGATTAAAGATATGGAGTTTTTAAAGGAACAGATTGTCGGAGTTCTAAATGCAATTATCCTTCATTAATAGAGCTTTCCAGAGTATGGCACCTATTCATGTGGAATACATTATGGCTCAAGGTCGCTGGCTAATTTATTCAAAGGACAGCCTAGAAAAGTCTTAACAAATAAATTACCACACTTCCCTCTCTATTGATTGTATTTATATTACGATGATAATGATGTTGTCATTCCCGTCCAGCCTTATGCTCGAAAGTATCTATCAGATGTGCACATACATATTGTATTTCTTGCCCTTAGTACTGGCGAAAAGGAAGCTGTAGCTGTAGGTGCCACAAGGTATAAGCCAGTAAAACAAGGCAATTGGCAACAGCCAGAAAATGTTATTTTTAAAACCGAGCACCCGGCTGAGAAATGCTTCAGAAGGCGGCGAAGGAGAGCCCAGAAAAGTAAAAAATGCACACCCACTGGAAAAAAGCGGGTGGAACGTTTTTTCTGTGGCATACATTCAGGCGTGTGCGCGTTTGCTGGTTGGCAGGAGGCCGTGCCGAGCCGCGCCGCGCCGCACCGCGGCCGGCATTTTCAGTTTCAGTTTTAATTTCCTTTTTCCTATGTATGCGTTGTCGGGGCACCCGAAAACACGTGTGTACGGGTCTACGCCGTGCGTCAGTGTGTGTTAGTCTGTGTGTGAAAATTTGGCCTTGGCAGACGGCAGGCAGGCGTCTGGCAGAAGGGGGGGAGGCAGAGGCAGAGGCAGGCGACGACAGCAGGCAGACAACAACAATTGTAGGCAGGCGGCCAGGCACACGCACGTTCTCGACACCGCGCCGAGTAGGAACAGAAGAGAATAGCGTTTGTTAACTACATATACATGGACATGTACATAAACATCTACACTCGCTGGTGTATTTATGTGTCTGTGTATACGGAGGAGAGCTTTTGCGGCGGCGGCGGCCTACACACCGCACTCACACACGAGCGATGCATTTACTTGGCCATGTATGTACGTTCCGTTCCCCACGAATACATGCGTACTCTCTTATGTTCATGTATCGTGCCATATCGTCGTTACTTTGGTCGTTTCGTTTCTGTTTTGTTGCTGTTGTTGTTGTTGGGTTTTGTGCCGGCACCCGATCTTTATTCGGCTGCCAGCTGAGAGCTAGAGGAGCCGGAGAAGGAGCCGCCGCCGGGAAAACTCTAGTCAGCTCTCAGGCCAGAGCCGGAGCCAGAGCCAGAGCCCCAGTCAGCAGTCAGCAGTCAGCGGCAGTCAGTTGTAGTTAGTCGGCCAGTTGTGTGCGTTGTGGAGCTCGCGAGTGCCGGTCCGAAATCGAATTGGATTGCTCTGAGTGCTAGTTATACCTAAATCTAAATCTATACTAAATACTATATACTATATAGTACTATATACAGGCTGTGATAGATAACCCCTCCCAGTCCAACAACAAGATGTGTAAATGCAAACTCTGATGAATTTTTCGATTGCCCAATTTGCCCGAATGTCTCCTGTTCTGTTCATCCGGTTAACCCCAATTCCGTTTTTGTCTTTTCAGTTTCGGCAGCAAACAACATGCAATATGGCCAGAATATATCCATACCGTACTCCTCACAGCCGCAGGGTGATCTAAATTTTCTGAATGCAGCCGCTGCAGCCGATCATAAGGGTAAAATCCATCCAAAAATCGAACGTGACCGGGAAGAAGGTGAGTTGTCGTCGTGGGGGGTGGGGGGAGCTAAGGAAAATCGGTCGAACAATCCTGCTGTGGGTAGCATTAACAGTTACAGCAGTGCCGGTTGTGGGTGGGAAGGGAGGCTGAGCCGTACATGGGACTGGCACACACCCGGACATACACATGGGGCATGTACTATATACTGTATTCTGTATACATACGTAGTCTTTTTTGGGTTGGTATATGTGTATTTCAAGGACGCACATTATTCTTCGGGCACATGCATGAGCTTCGCTTCGGCTTCTCGTTATTTATAAATGTTTTTGGGCCTGCCCGTGCCTGTCTGGGACATTGTGTGGGGATTTCGTAGCATACTTTTTCCCTACAAGTGGATATAATTTTATAATTTTGATTACGATTCTGTAAATGCGAAATCTGGCTCCGGGAAATTCCTCTCAAATGAAAGCTTTGCCCACTGCCTTTGCCGGAGGCAGGAAGCGACGGAAGGGAGGGAGGGACAGGAAAAAGTAGGCTTTCCGCTGCTGTTGCTGGTGCGGTGCTGTGGCCTTGGGAGTAAATGGTTACTATCCCTGGGATTACATATTAAGAAAATAGAAGCCCCCCGAGTAAACCACCCACGCAGCCTCCCGCCTCCCGTCTCCGGGCTAGGGTGGGATGGGGTGGTCGTCAAGGTGAAGAAAATTGTTGTTGGGGTAGGTTTCTTCTTGTTGTAATTGTAGCAGAGTCCAAGAATATTATGAAGGCAGGAAGGAAGCTCTTAGGTGCAGGATGAAATTTGATTTGATTTGATTTGATACGAACTAAAGCGTTCTGTTCTTCCCGTTCTTGTGCAGTTCTCAACCAGCAGATCTTACAGAATGTCAATCAGTCGTGGCAGACGCTGGCCAACACGGCCAACACTGTGGACTATTCATCGCACTTGCTTTCCGCAACACTGCCAATCTCCATACAGCACTTCCTCAAGTATTCGGAGACCATCAAGAAGGAATCCTCCGGCGATGTCCTGAAGAATGGCACGAATCTGGCCAGCCTGGCGCTGGGAGGCGTCGCCCTGACGCCCAGCAATAACGGTGCGAACGGAGGCCACCACAATGGCGGATTGGTGGGCATGGAGCACGGCGGGCACATGACCAATATGACGGACGCGAATGGCGCCGCGCTGACCAACGGCGCCAGCAATGGCGTCAACGGTAATGCCAATGGAGCGGTCACCAACGGTGGAGCCGGGGCGGTGTCCAGCTCAGGGTCGGTGGGCACCACAAACGCGAGTGGGGGCACTACCACGGCCACTGGCAAGAAAACCAAAAAGAAGAAACCACCAAAGGAGAAGAAGCCGCGCCCGAAGCCAGGCGAGATCCGAGAGACGAAAGCGCTGGACGGATCCACGCTCTACTGCTGCCCCGAGTGTCAAATGGCGTACCCAGACCGGAGTCTAATCGAGCAGCACGTCATCTCGCACGCCGTGGAGCGACGCTTCGTTTGCGACATTTGCAATGCGGCCCTCAAGCGCAAGGATCACTTGACCAGGCACAAGCTGTCCCACATACCGGACAGGCCTCATGTGTGCAATGCAAGTTTTTCAATTGATAGATTCTCCCCTTTGGCTTTGCCGCTTTCATTTGACTGATTTGTCATATAACTTCTGACTATTCCAACAATAGATCTGCATGAAGTCCTTCAAGCGCAAGGAGCAGCTCACTCTGCACATTGTTATCCATTCCGGCGAGAAGAAACATGTCTGCATTGAGTGTGGAAAAGGTACGAGGGCCACAAACTACACGACTTGAATAACTAAACAACTGAGTATCTAATTCGCTGTTCTTTTTCATTTAGGTTTCTACCGCAAGGATCACTTACGTAAGCATACGCGCTCCCATATTGCCCGACGCGTCAAGTCCGAGGTATCGGCGCAGAACGTAAACGGATCCGGTGGCAACAATGCACAGAGCAATGCACTACATGGTTCCTGAGGATCGTACAAGGACTTTTGGTAAATTCTCAAACAAATTTCAAGCCATAAAGGCGGCCCAGATGTTGGCAGCACCCTGCTGAAGAAGCTTCTTCGTGAGGATCGTACGGTGCTGGCAGCAGCTGTGCCGCCTTTGAAATTTGTTAAAGAGTTTATCGAAGGTCCTGCTGAGCGTCACCCAACTCCAACTCCCATAACAATAACAGATAACCCTCTGAATAAAAAAAAAACGATGTTATACTTACAATTTGCAAGTATTAGTACGATTTTGTTCACGACACTTTCAGTTCTTTAGCTTTAGTTCTTTCAGTTGAGATTTTCGCACAAAAGTTAAGTAAATTATATAAAGAGAGTATATGAGAGGAGCGGAGAGGAAAGTAAATGTACAAACAAAACAAAACAAAGCAAGATACGGAACAGATTTAAGAAGATTTCGAAATTTAGTATGCGCATACATATTATAAGGGAAGACTCACCATACCATACCATACCATACCATACCATACCACCATACAAAAAAAGTTACTTTCATTTCTCTTTGAGGATCTGTGATCTGTAATTGCTGCATAAAAAACCCAAAACACACACAAAACAATTGAAAAACTATCGATCGATAGCTGTTCTAAGAATATAAGTTTTTAATTTGCTTAATTTTAATCAATTTATGTGCAATTAACAACCATTTTGATTTGCCTTTTGAGTTGTCTTGGTCTGTACATGTACCCCTCGTACGATTCATTGTTTCATTGAGTTTTGGTTTCCCACCTACTATTACTCACTCTTTTGCGCATATTAATGAAGTAAGAAACCCTAAAATGAAATTTATTTCTAGTCTTGTATTTTATTTTACCAATAGGCAGTAGTAGAGGGGAGCGGAGGAGCCCTCAGAGCAACCAACCCCTCAGATTCGAGGTCATGTAATTTTAAGCTTTTAAACTTGAACGAAAGGAGAACCGAACCTCCTACGCGACACACACACACACACACTAAACAGAAAATGCAATACAAACAAGAAAAATACTTGCATCTTTGCATGCCCCCAACTTCCAGCCATCGTCATTCTTTAGAGCAGAGAGAACTACCACAAAAAAAAAAACTGCAACTGCAACAATATCTATGTGTAATAGATAGATAGATACACACACACACACCTATATCCAGCTTACCAATCAATAACTGATAACCAACAAGAAAGAAAAACAAAACAAATTACAAATAAGAACAATATAGACAGAAGCCACAGATACCAGATACCAGATATCAGATACCAGATACAAGATACAAGATAGCAGGATAGCAGAGAGTAGGCACAGCAGATCAACAAACAAATATTGCAATTTGCTAAACCAATAAGAGAAACAATAACCGAGAAGTAAACTGTATAAAACAATATTTTTATATATATAAAACAAAAGGAAACAGAATAGGAATAAAGGCATAAAACAATAACCGAAATAAAGTGCAAACACTTCGTGCGAGTGACAACGTAATTTACTGTTCAAATACAAAGCATTTTTGAGATTAACGATAAACGTACCATGAATCCCCATACAAGAGGCATACAAGGCTATGCTTCACTCATGATATGATATGATACGATATGCATCCTCGTACGTACACTTGTATAGTTAATATATGACTGCTTCAAACTAATATACGCTAATATACAGAAGATACAGATACATACAGAACATATAGATTTACAGACACACAACTCCCAAATGACCCTTCGTGCTCGAACTTTGATGGCGCAGAGTATGAGAGTACCTCCTGCAGAGTTCGAGCTCGAGAGGGTCATTCAATATTGTTTGGTTTTTCGACGCATTCGGAATATAGTAATGTTTCAACAGGAGCAGCAGCAGGAGCAGCAGTACTAAGTGCATTTCTGTGGAATGTAATGTAATTCAAACACTTGCAGCGAAGTACAAATATTTTAGCACACCTTCAAGAAGAGAAGCCAAGCCCCCCGCCCCCACCCCCGGCCCCACAGCAGGTAGACATAGAAGCAAATCGAAACGAACCACGAGACAAAAGTTAGCCAAAAAGTAAAAACAAAACACTATGCAAAAAAACCTTAATACAGTTACTACATTAGAGAGGGTAGCAGCAGTAATATATTAACAAGTTTTTTCTGGCCAAGCAAGCGCTAACTTGGCGACTCTCCAAATGTTGTAACCCCATCCATCATCCATCCCCCATCGCCCATCCCCCATCACCCATCAGCCGTCAGTCAGCCCCTCGCCCAGAGACAATTTATAAACAAAAGTGACAATTTATAAATAATTAAGCGACCTTCACACAGCAAACGAAAAGTTATTATTTTGCAATTGATTTTCTTGGTCTCTCTCCTAGCAAAAAAAAATACTTAAAATCGCGTAAGAGAATATAAAACAATAAGTTAATAAACAAAAAGTTGCAATAAATGACAAACAAATGAAATTAAATCACTCAGGGATAAAGCCTCCAAAAGAAAACAAAAAACATAAAATAAATGCAATATTTTAAAAATGAAACAAAAACGAAAAACGAAAACAAAACAAAAATTTAATCTAATGTGAAAAGTACATTTTAAAGTTACAAAATATTTTAGTATAATACAAGAAGGACGAAAACAAAACAAAATTTTTTAGAAATTTGCACAAATTTTTGGCATTTTATAAACGCAAAATAAAAAAACATAAAACAAAACATAAAAAGCGAACAAACAACAAAATGACGAAATAGAAACATATTTTCTCACATTTCATTGGCTTAGCGAAGGTATAAAAACAACAGAATAGATCATAACAGAACAGAACAGAACAGACAGAAATCATAATATATTGTATACATAGACAAACGGTCCGTGCAACATTTAGTGCATTTATATAAAAACAAAAAACAAAACCATAGATAAACAACAGTTCATATTTACAGGAAAGGATCGATCGAGAGATCGAGAGTATTGAGTATACAAAAATTTGAAATTAAATGAAAGGAAGGCAGGTCAGGAAGGTGCGGTGCGGTGGCCAAAGATGAAGTTTTAAGTGTAGTTAGAGCGCGATGGTCTGGTCGGAATACGAGTGCAGTGCAGGTTAAGGTTCAGGCAGCAAAAGAAGGCAGAATCGGCGAGTATACATTCGATATACAACTTCGATATATTTAAACAAAAAAAAACTACTCGTATATGAAAACTGTGTGTATTGAATTTATGTTTAGTGTCTGCAGCAGCATGCTAGGAAAGTTGAGGATATTGAGGATATTGAGGATGGATGGAGAAGAGCTAAATACATTTAAGGTTAGATTTTCTGCGAAAGGACTGAAGTTAAGGCAACGTAGCGTTTAGATGCAAAATTGAATTGAAAACCGAGTGTTATGGATAATGGAGCGTGCGCGAATGCGAATGGTGACGAAAATTATTTGTTTAAGGCTGGACTTTGTAATTTCAAGCAAAAAACGATAGTAGACAAAACAAAAACAAAAACATGTAAAATGCAGATACAATATTTTTATAATTAAAACAAATCGAAACCCAAACCCTGTTCTTAATATGTTTAACTCAACTCTGCAATTATCGTTAAAGACGTATTTACTGTTTGTGATCCAAAATTCATTATTTAAACGTAAATCACAAGGAAGATACATTTGTTGCATGGCCAAGGTTTGAACTAAACATCGGATCAGATCAGATCGGATCAGGGTTCGTGTGGCAAACAACCTCACAACTTAAAGACACTATGCAAATACATACATGTAGAACAGAACGGACGAAACACTCGTGATTTTTAATACGGGTCATATGCAAAGGTTCAAAACTTTATAGCGACTCGATTTGCAATGTTTTGCAGGTATGTCAAACCTCGACCTCGACCGACGGTGGACAGTACTTTTGAGGATTATGCGAACCCTTAGAAATAGAGCAGGAACAGTAACTTGTACTTAATTGAAAGAAGATATAAACAAAAAACAACAGCCACTTTGAAATATATTTACTTGAATCAAATAATATTAATGAGTATATATAACTTTGTACTTGAATAATATTTTATTTATATATACCTTAAGTCAATAAAAATTCTAATAAATTATAATCACCTAAAAATGTGTTTTACTCAAATATTTTCTTTTGGCTTTATATTGTCAAAGGGAAGAATATCTATCATTCTTTCCCTTTTATTCTTATAGTATAGTAAGTATAGTAAGACAAACATTTAACGCACTACCCAAGGCCCTAAATCCACATAGACCAGAGAACAGGTACCGGGATAGAGATATATTTAGTAAAGAAATGAAATGCATGAATAGGTAAAAAACTCTTCAAGGTAAAAAAAGCTTGAAAAACAGAGTTTTAATATTAATATAAGGAAATATTGTATAAAGATACTCATACCACCGGTTGACAAGCAACAAGTGTTGAAATGACGTAACATTTACGTCACTTCCCACTTACGTTTTATGCATATTTTGTTTAAAACTTATTTGAAACTTATTTGTTTCAACACAGTATATACTGTGTGGTTAGTGGTTCTATCTAGCTAGTAATATCAAATAGAATATCAAAATCGAAAATCAATCTCAAAATCCCATCTTTGACGTAGAACGATTAACCCATTGTAGACCAAGGGGTATTTAAATATTCCACCTAAAATAGGGGAAATTTAATCATTTTAGCGCATTCCAGGTGAAAGATTCGTAGGGTTTGTTGCAATTCAAAAGGAAGGATCGGTAACGTAAATTTTGAAAATGAGACGGTATATTTCTGAGGGTCAACTGTATGTACTGAATCGGTATGAATCGGTAATATTCTGCATACCCTAGAAAAAAGAGTATTATAGAAGTGCGGAAATGTTTGTCATCCCAAGCTCTAATTAATGAAGAAAGGTACTTCTAAAGGTACTTATAAAGGTACTTCAACGATATTTGGCAATATTTGCAATATTCTCTTTCGGTTTTTTTGCTTGACCTTTATCGCTAAAACCTTTTTTTCGGTAAAATCCAATAAAAGCAAGTACTTAAAATAAACCAGTCTAGTAGAAAATAGTTTAATTCATTGGATAAAATTATTTGGGCATAGATAAAGGCCCGGTTGACAACATTTAAATCCTTGTCGCTCACATTCAAAAAAGTTCGATTTGGCGCGCTCCACTCGGTATATTTTTCAAATGAGACCGTATATTTTGGTGCTGTTCTGAGGGTCATACTGTAGAAACTGGTTTTCGCCGCGCTCCCATGGTATTTTTGTCCATTTTCTTCAATCTATTAATTTAATTTTCAATTTTATATAGAAATCCAATAAAAGCAAGTATTTCGATTAGGCCAATCATGTATAGAATTGATTCATCAATCGTACAAAATTGAGTGGGCATGGCTAAATGTTCTATATAGATAGTATTATTCAACGGAACAAAGAATATGAGGAATTGGTCGTTTTTTGAATCGAATTTGAATTCGCCGCAGTTCGCTTTAGCAACAATGAGTCTCATTCCATACACAAACATGTTGCTAACATACCCTGGGGGATATGGATGTTATAGAATTGAGGAAAAAGGGTGTACAAAGGCCTATACAAGCGTTATGTCTTCAAATTCCAGCGACATTGCAACTGTTTTTTTGTTGAACTATTTTGCTTAAACCTTGTTTAGTCAAAATACAATAAAAGCAAGGACTAAAAACTGGCCAGTTAAGTAGAAAATTGATTCATTAATCGTATAAAATTATGTGGTCATAGATAACGGCCCGGTTGACAACATTTAAATCCTTGTCGCTCACATTCAAAAAAGTTCGATTTGGCGCGCACCACTCAGTATATTTTGTATATTCTGAGGGTCATACTGTAGAAATACTGGTTTTCGCCGCGCTCCCATGTGGTGTTTTTTAGTGCTAAATGGTATTTTTGTCATTTATTAATTTCATTTTCAATGTTATATAGAAATCCAATAAATGCAAGTATTTCGAATAGGCCAATCATGTATAGAATTGATTCATCAATCGTATAAAATTGAGTGGGCATGGCTAAATGTTGTATATAAATAGTATTATTCAACGGAACAAAGAATATGAGGAATTGGCCGTTTTTTGAATCGAATTTGAATTTGCCGCAGTTCGCTTTAGCAACAATGAGTATCATTCAATACACAAACATGTTGCTAACATACCCTGGGGGAAATGGATGTTATAGAATTGAGGAAAAGAGGTGTACAAAGGCCTATACAAGCGTTATGTCTTCAAATTCCAGCGACATTGCAACTGTTTTTTTGTTGAACTATTTTGCTTAAACCTTGTTTAGTCAAAATACAATAAAAGCAAGGACTAAAAACTGGCCAGTTAAGTAGAAAATTGATTCATTAATCGTATAAAATTATGTGGGCATAGATAACGGCCCGGTTGACAACATTTAAATCCTTGTCGCTCACATTCAAAAAAGTTCGATTTGGCGCGCACCACTCGGTATATTTTTCAAATGAGACCGTATATTTTGAAATATTTCTGTGGGACGATATATTTTAACGATAAGTCCGCGGTCACACTGCTATCGATAGTGGGCACCATCGATAGTATACGATAGGTTTTCGAAAAACATCGACAGTGCAATCGATAGTTCTCCACCTGTAGTTCAAAAAACATCGCTGACATTTAATATTAGTTTAATTTTCAATGTTATATAGAAATCCAATAAATGCAAGTATTTCGAATAGACCAATCATGTATAGAATTGATTCATCAATCGTACAAAATTGAGTGGGCATGGCTAAATGTTCCATATAGATAGTATTATTCAACGGAACAAAGAATGTGAGAAATTTGTCGTTTTTTTGAATTCGCCGCAGTTCGCCGCAGTTCGCCGCATTTCGCCCCAATTCGCTTTAGCAACAATGAGTCTCATTCCATACACAAATGTTGCGCATTCCATACACAAAAGTTGCGGCAACATTTACTTGAAACCCGTTTTTTGGTCAAAATAAAATACATTAAGGTAATTAAAAGAAGCAATCATGTAGAAAATACATTTATCTATGGGATAAAGTTAAGAGGGCAAATCGATATAGCTTGAAATATAGGCAATACTCGATTCGCCGCAGTTTCGCTATTGCAACAATGAGTCCCATTCCATACACAAATGTTGCTAATTCCATGCACAAATGTTGCTAATTCCATGCACACATACCCTGGCGCAAATGGATGTTATAGAATTGTGAATACGTTTGTCTTCCAAGGTAGGTATCAGGATCGACATAAATATACACAAGATACTAATATTGTACTTTAATATGTCTAAGGAATATCAATTTGAGAAAAGGTCTTTATAAATCACTTTTCATCTTCATATAAAATTAACAAAATAGGGTATACAAAGGCCTACACGCAACATAGTGAATCTTTTTTTGTTGGACTTTTTCGTTCAAACCTTTTTTTACAATAAATACAATAAAAGCAAGGATTAAAAACTATCCAATCTTGTAGAAAATTTATTCATCAATGGGATAAAACTATGTGGGCATTGCTGAGAGATTAAGTTAGTCAGCATTATTCAATGGAATATCAAAATTAAGCAATATGAACGAATTTCCCTTTTCGTTTGTTTTGATTGACCTATTTCGCTACTTGTTTTTTGTTTGACTTATTTCGCTAAAACCTCTTTTTACGCAAAATGCAATAAAAGCAAGTATTAAGAATACACCAGTTAAATAGAAAATTGATTCATCAATCGTATAAAATTATGATGGCATGGCTAAATGTTCCATATATCTAGTAATATTCAACGGAATATAAAAAACGAGGAATATGTAAAGTAGAACTCGGATTCGTCAGTATATTAACGGTATATTTTGAAAATGCGACGGTATATTTGCGAGTGTCTGACCGTACATTTCAGCGATAAATCCACGGTCCCCCCTGACTATCGAATTATCTGACTGTCGGAAAAAAAACTTCGAACGTGAAAAATGGATCGGTAGCTGGGAAATATACTTTTTAAGCGAAATACGCAAAGAAAACGGCTTTTGTCCGCTATTTCAGCGATTTTTTTTGTGTTGTAATCAGCAGGAATAATTTTGAACAACGACCAGCCTACACCACCCGTCAGTTCCAGCAGAAAACAACACAATTATTGCAATAGAATTACTTCTGCACCACACAACACCCAACTATTGCACAGCCAGCCACAAGCCCACAAAGGAAAGGTGAAACGCAAAAAAAAATAATTAAGTCGAAAACGGAATAAAGGAATAAATCCAAAAATTTTGCTTGCTTTGCCGATGGGATGAGAGAAATCAGCAGTCACCCACACCAACAACAATCCAATTACAAATAAATTTGACCAAAACCCGTCGTTACGCAGTCGCCATCAGGAATACAATTGCCAAGCCAGCCCAACCGAAAGAATCAAATTAATTCACACACCACACTCGCATTTCTTGGCAATTGGATTAAAAAAAGTATCAAGCAGAAAAAATATTTTCAACCAGCCACCATTTTGAATGAGCTGAAGCAGCAGAAAGAGCGAGAGCGCAACGCAGCCGAAGCAGCAGCAGCAGCGCTGCTGACATCAACGCTGTTTCTTGCAGCTGGCGGAGGACCGGACCGGGGAAGCCGTCACAAACCAAACCCCCTTCTAGCCTGTTCTTTTGCGTTGCTACTATTGCGTTCATCTATCGGGAAGCGAAGCCGAAACTGTGCCTGGTGTTCATTCTTTGGCTACAAATAGTGTCCAACTCCCGAAAATATGGTTGAGTTGGAGGAAAAAAATGCCAGCACAGCTGCTGCAGGCGCGAAGCAACACCATCTTCGCAACGCCAACGCGGGGAATGGGAGCAACAACAACCCCAGAGGTTCTGGGGACAGTGGGTTATGCGGCAGTGGAGTTTCTTCCAGCAACACGGATAACAGCTGCAGCCAGAGTCAATCAGGTGAATATTTAGAGACTACACTGCTCTTAATTGGGGTAGAACATTATACTGATAGTTGGGAAAGTTCTCGACGTTTCCTTAGCCCGGCTTCCCTGTTCCGTTCTGTTTCATCGTGCTCCGATTGATTCTATCTTATTTAGTAGAAACTTTAGCTGTTACATGTTCACGATGTGTTGTGTGCACATTGAGCATATGCAAAGATCGACGTGGTCGAAAATACATTTTCTATTATTTTTTCTACAAAATACCGGGGGGGAGCAACAGCTGCTGCTATTGAGCCAATCAAGCAAGACGAAACAAAAAGAGTATCTAAGAGTACGAGTCGAATGTGTCAGGCATTTAAAATAACATGAGTCACTCCACGGTACAAGTCCATGCAATTTGTTCGAAAAAAACGTAATGGTAACAGACTTTTAAAGCTTGCAACAACGACACGACGTTCATAGCGGTAGCTACGATTTGGCAGAGCGGCTGGCAGAGCAGCCTGCATATAACATATAACCTTGATGACGTTTATTGCTCTTGATGACGTTTATTGCAACCCAAAATAGAACGACAGGCCAAAGCGAATGGGGAAAAAGCAAAGTGAACGAATGAGCGGGCGAACAGAGACAAAGCGATGAGAGCGGCCTCTCGGCTGCTTGCCTCCTACACGCTCCTATGTTGACCGAGTTTGGGGGCAACTGCAGATTGCCGATTGCAGATTTCAAATAGAATGGACCGGACCGAATCGAATCGTACGAGCAGTGGAATAGCTAAAACCTCACACCACATAAATGAAACAATTCTGCGGAAATTAAATTCACAAGCTAGTACAAGCTGGTGTTTTGATTGAGGGCGATGTTATTTAATAAATACACACACACACACGAACACGTACACACATATATATGCATATGTTTGTGCATTGTCTGTTCTATGCTGGGCTATAAAAACATGGAGGACAGCCAGTGCCTACGTGCAGCTTTACATTCGCGTCTCTTAAAATCCCTTACGCTCCCCTCCCGCTTTGATAGCCCTGCGAGAGAAATTTTTACATATGGCAATGCCTTTAGCTTAACAAAACAAAGTCAGCTGAAACTCAAGCCAACTTATGTATGTTGTTTACTTGGGGAAAAGACGAATAAATTTACTATAAATGTTATTTCCCTTGCCCTTTCCATGTTTTTGCTTTTTGAAAGAATTCGCGCACATCAGGCCACTTTATAGAAGTCGACGACGCATTAGTGTTGGTGTGTCTGTGCTTCGTTTGTCCGTCCCCCTATTCGCGCTCCCATCCCACCTCCCAAAACCCATGAGCTACGTGAGACAGAATCTGCATTGGTGTTTGTGCTTGCCCACACACATAAAAATCAGTGGAGAAACAGTGCTGCCAACTACCGTTGACAAAAAAGGCCAGAAAAGGCTAAAAAAGAAAAACACTAGTTACTCATAGTTTTGAAATATCAGTATTTGTTTTTTCTTGTTTTTACCTGTTTAAAGGTGGTTGTTTCATCAAATTTCCGACAAATAATTCGGGGAAACTATATTATGTGGCTCTCAAAAAGCTGTGGCAGCAGCACTAGCGGCGAAGAGAAGCCGACAGTTTGATTCAAAGAGTACCGTACCATACCATAGGGTTATTTATGCTGTATTTTTGTGCCGCTCTCTCTCTCTCTCTCTCTCTCTCTTAGGGAGTAATTCGGCTCTCATATGTAAAGTGTTAGTTTCGACAGTATATTTCGTATTCATTGCATCACGTATCGTATGGATTTCGCGAAACAGAGGTGTATTCATGCTAAATCCATACCGGTCTTTCTTCTTCTTCTCTTTCAACACACACTCTTAACTGCACGATACGCCGTTCTCTTCGCCCACCTTCTGCTTTGTTTTTATTTTCCCTGTTGCTGTTTTTGTTTGCGGCTGCTACAACAACAAAGCAAGCAGCTGCCTTTACTTGTTGTCAAAACTGGTTGTGCTAATCAATGATGTGGCTTTAGTTGCTCTCTTTTTCCTTCTCTCTCTCTCGCTTTCCGTACGCTCTTAATTGTTTGCTGTGCTTTTATGTGTGTTGTTTTGTGTGTGTATGAATATACATAACATACATTGTATTTACCATGTTATCACCGCAGGTATCGGCTGATTCCTTTTGTTGATTTGGTATGCGGTATATGGAAACTTTCGGGACGTTCCGAGTGATTTCAATCATAATACGAGCATCAAACCGAAAATACTTTTATTATTCCGGTTACCGTTGCGTATATAAATATACGCATGCATTTCTTTGTGTGGAAATGTCATGTAACATTTCAAACCTGATCTTCAAGATCCGTCCATGTGTGCAACCAGAATTTGTTATTCTTCCGGCAGGTTTCCCTATTATTTCCTTTGTCATAAGAGAATCTTATTGGTGGCTAATTTGCTATGCCTAAGCGATATCTGCGTCACTTTGTGGAGACTTCTGGTTATGCGTAGCTCTTTTCCTATCCGCAGTACATAGCTCTTTGGCACGTGTAAAGAGAGAAACATACACAGGCATACATACATACATAAGCACACTTATTTATTACAAGTCACAACAACAGTACACTCTCGCTCTCATGCTGGCGCGCTCTCATCCGGCAAAATAAGCTCCCTCTCGCGTCACGTCGGCGGTAGTTTTTTTGGCTGCTGCTGCTTGTCCGTTGTTCGCGAACGGGCGCGTGTTCGATTCTTTCCTCGTTGGCGCCGAGTACGTTAGGTCCGCTAAAGTTTGTCCGTGTTTTTTATTTTTTAAATTACTTCTTTCGCCCATTGGTTTAATTGTGCACCAAACCTTTTCCGCAGCCACCAACCAATTCCGTTATCTTCCACCCATTAGTCAGCTATAGTCGAAAATATTCCGTGCGCTCCACTCATCGTGATTTGTTGCCATTTTAGTGGATAGAACTGGCCTAGTGAGTGAGAAATAAGATGTGGATATCGAAATCAGAGGCGGCTTCGTTTTGCGTTTTAACTTGAAAATCAATCCAAAATAGGGTTAAAATTAGCCCCAAATACAATCTTCGAAACTACAAAGTAGCGGAACCAGCAGCAGCCGGAATACAGACCGGTAGCAATTTTATCTACGCATTGCAAAAACGTGCCGCACAGAACCGAGGCGGGCGTTGCTTAGACAAATTGCGTTGCGATTAAAAGGCGAGAGAGCGACAGCAACAACTACAAAGACAACAACAGCGCAGCAAACATGTTGGGTAAATACAAAACAAGCGTAGAAATAAATACATGTGTGTGTTGTGTGTATGTATGGGCTATATTCTAAAAGTTCTACCAATGCCGCTGTCGAAGCGCGGCACATGCATGTGTTTTCACCCTGTGTGTGTGTGTACTTCAGTACGGTGCCAATGTATGGATTTGTTATATGGGAAACATTTCAAAATGCCGGTTCTTATTTTTTGTTTTGGCAACTTTTTCCGCCACCTCCTTGCAGGTTGCTAGTATTTTAATTTCGATTTGACGATACGATGTGTTAATGTTTATGCATTATTAAGCAATGGCTATATATACATATATCTTCGACCCAGTGTTCATCATCTGTATATTGAAAGTGTAAATAAAGTAAAAGTGTATGTACATGTATGGGGGGGCGTAAGCATTAAATTCTAGCTTGTTATTCTTAATTTTGTATTCATGCTGTTTATTCGATTCTTCTTTTTCTGTCGGTCGTCGCTTTTGCGTTGGTTCGCCATTTTTATTTAATTTTTGCTTTTACAATTTCATTTTGCTGCGCAATAATTTTCTGCTTCTTTACAACACAAACACACATTCACTCTCACATATCGCGCCTGCTGTTGTGGCTGTGGCTGTGCGGCTGTGTGTTTCTGTCCGTGAAGTCAAGATGCAAAAAACTAGAAGGTGGCGCAAAGAGCAGAAGAGTAACAGCTCACAGAACTTTCCGTCTGCCCTTCTTCAGTCTGGGAGGGGATCCCAACCCCACCATTTATGATCCCTTTAAATAGGATCAGGGATCGTCCTTACCCCACTCCTCTTCCTCCCCATAGTTGACACTTTGAGAGCGCTCCAAACGGTGTATTCATTCATTGCGTCCCCTTGTTTTACTTTCGTCATGCCATGCTATGAAGTAATACCGAAAGAGAGATACGCCTTATCTGCTGTTCGCTCTCGCTCTCACAAATTGGGCTCTCTCTCTTTCTTTCACTCTCTCTGCGAAAAGCTCGAACCGCATGTTTTTTTCCTTCCATCAGCAGTCCATGCTAGTGATAAAAGCAGCACAAGGGAAGCGTAGGGTAGGGTACGAAGAGGAAACTTTACAATCTTTACACACTGATACACTTACAGCTCGTTTTTGTATCAATACAAGTGAGGGGATATTTACTATTCCCCGGCTTTATCTTCCAAAAAAATGTATTTTTAAAATTTGTATTGAATTTATCATTGTTCCATACGAGTACTCGCTTTTTGCGTAGTTCACTCTTATCGGCAATTTGTTTATTCGCATAATCTTTGCCACCGTAAACACTCCTGCGTTTCGTTTCCATACGTAGACTGTGTGTTTATTGTTATGGCACTTTGAAAACTTGATTATGTTTGCTCGCAAACCACGATTCTATTCTCCAAGGTTATTTTCTGGCTCTTGATTGTGAATTGTTGAGCTATCAGCCAGCCTCTTGTTTACTTGACAGTTGATTTGAGCACCCAGCTGCACCTGTATGTTCTTCTTCATTCAGACAGATCGTAGCCATATAATCCTCCTTTTCAAACAATAAGTAAGATGCATTGGAATGGAATGAGGGAGAAAAGCCGGCCGGCAATCCCGTGATTTAGAAGGGAAAATTCCATAGCTCACAATTTGCATATTTGCTTGGTATCTTTAAAGTTATCTACGCAATTGATAACAATTAAAGCTTCCCAATAAATAGGCCAAATTTAAATTTAGACAAGAATCGACAGCCGCCTGCCGTGCGCACACTTTTGTGCTGTGTACGTAAGCAAGCGAGAGGAAGTCCGGAAGAAGAGAGGGAGAGCACAGCATCGAGGTCGTACAGACGAGACGAGACGAGACGCGTTGCTTATTGGCGAATGACGCGATGACGACTTCACTTCCCCCCTGGGGTCGCAACAAAAACCGTTTGGATGAGACTCGAACCATAACTAAGTCTATTAAGAACAGCCCATCATCTACCAGTCAAGTACCAGATATTTTATTATTTAAACCGCAAAGTGCGGCGTAACTGCTTCCTCTCCGATCTTGGTGGAGATATTCCCCCAAGGAGTGCAACGGGCTTTAAATAGTCGACAAGAGAAAAGAAAAAAGCTATCAAGCTAGCTGATTGTCAGCCGTCCCCCATACTCCTATCGCCCTCGGGTATGGTGTGGGGTGCTGTGACCGGCTGCCTGACTTAGCTTCAGACAAACCTCTGTATATTTCCATCCAGAACTTTTCTATAAACCTTTGTGTGCGCGTATTATTTATTTTTTACATATTTTATAACCACTTGCTGCTGCTGCTGCTGCGGCGGCTGCGACCTGTTTACGACACGCGATTTGCTTTCTACGCAGTTGGGCAAAAGTATTTCTTATTTTGAATTCCTTCGCTACTATTTTTATGCATTGATAAATAGGGAACAGAAAAATAATAACAACATATCGGCTCATGTCTGATCTCGATCTCGTTACAGACGGCCAAAATGAGCTGACGCGCTACAGTAGCGAGGATGTGTCGGGCAATGAGTCGAGTGAAGCACCCAACATGACCGAGGTGGAGCGGCAGGTCGAGCTCAACCGGCACAAGGAGGAGATGCAGAAGAAGCGCCGCAAGAAACGCATCAGTTCCTCCCTTCATTCGTCAACGTTTCAAGGTTAGTAGAGTGGTGCAGCATGTGGCAGCACTTCGAATACATAGGTACATATATTTCTATTGTATTTGCAACCTCTTCTTAGAACTCTACAAGCTGACCGGTGAAATACTTGGCGAGGGCGCTTACGCTTCGGTACAAACTTGCGTTAACATTTACACCGACTTGGAATATGCTGTGAAGGTTATTGATAAGATACCGGGACATGCGCGTGCGCGTGTCTTCCGAGAAGTGGAGACATTCCACCATTGTCAGGGACATCTGGGCATCTTGCAATTGATCGAGTTCTTCGAAGACGACGAGAAGTTTTACCTGGTGTTTGAGAAAATCAATGGCGGCCCTCTGCTGTCGCGCATCCAGGAGCACATCTGTTTCTCGGAGCACGAGGCTGCGCAGATAATCAAGGAAATTGCCTCCGGATTGGATTTTCTGCACAAGAAGGGCATTGCCCACCGTGATCTCAAGCCAGAGAATATTCTGTGCGTGAAAACCGACTCGCTGTGTCCGATCAAGATTTGCGACTTTGATCTGGGCTCTGGCATCAAGTTCACCACGGATGTCTCCTCGCCAGCAGCCACTCCCCAGCTACTGACACCGGTAATTAAACCCGAATAAATCTCATCTGTTGTGATCTGACGATCTTAATCGCCCGTTTTGTTCCGCTTTTAACAGGTCGGAAGCGCCGAATTTATGGCCCCCGAAGTTGTCGACTTGTTTGTGGGCGAGGCAAACTATTACGACAAGAGGTGCGATTTGTGGTCCTTGGGAGTCATTGCTTACATCCTGCTATGTGGCTATCCGCCATTTTCGGGCAACTGTGGAGAGGATTGCGGCTGGAATCGCGGTGAGAACTGCCGCACCTGCCAGGAGCTCCTATTCGAGTCCATTCAAGAGGGTAAGTCGTCGCCGTTCGCCTAGATTTGGCTTTAATGTTTGATTTTAAATGGTCGTGTGTCTGTTCCAGGATCCTTTAGCTTTCCGGAGGCCGAGTGGCACGATGTAAGCGATGAGGCCAAGGACCTGATTAGTCGTCTGCTTGTCAAGCAGGCCTCTAAGCGTCTGAGCGCCGAGGCTGTGTTGAACCATCATTGGATTCGTATGTGCGAGCATGAGCCGCCGACCAGCAGGCAGTCTGGCCGCCACAAGGCATTGCATACCCCAAGCAATATTCGACGGTAATTAATAATAGAACACTGAGGATCGCGACAGTTGTTGATGTATCGTATCTCTTATTATGTGGCTTTTAGCAATCACCAGTCGGCGAGGGAAATTTCGCAGTTTGCCGAATCCGCCATGGCCGTTAAGCGCGTGATCTTGCAGCATTTCTCCATGCGCTACGACTACATGAAGGAGCGTCCCAACATCTACCAGCCATCACAGGCCTACATGGATGCCTACAGCGATGAGAACTATAATCCCAAGCCGCCCTCTCATTACACTCGCAATCGTTCACAGCGCACAGCACCAGCATCTGTGGCTGGTGTGGCTGGGGTGGCTGGGGTCTTGTCTAGCTATGGAGGGCGTATGTCCTCGATTCATGGCCAGCGGACGAGCAGCCGTCACTCTTCCAGGAATGCTTCACGCAACGCATCTGCGATATATCCAAGCAGTGGAGGATTCAAGACGTTGAATGTTCACGAGGAGGACGATGACGATGATGCACTCGAGGCCTTTGGACGTTTGGATGATGATGACGACGAGTGGGCCAAGTCGACACGTCGCTATCAGCAGCAGCGCGAGCTGCAGCAACAGCAGGAGGAGTCGCTCGGCGATGATCACGAGGATCGCTACAGGGAGAGCGTCAGCGAGGGCGATGAGGGAGAGAGCGAGGACTATCAACATTATAAGCATTATTGGCGCGAGTTGGACGAAGATGAGGGCGATGACTATTTGTACGAGCAGCAGCAGCAACGCGTCGATGATATTGCCGAAGAGGAGGAAGAGGAGGAGGAGGAGGAGAAGAATGATGAAGAGAACGAAGAGGAGGAGAAGGAGGAAGAACGAAATAAATATGCTGACAATCGAAACCAATTGAAAGCTAAAGTGGAACAATTTGGCGAAGCCAATGAAATCGAACAGCAGCCAGAGAATGGTTATGTTTATGAGAAAGATCTTATTATGGATAATATCGAAAAATCGAAGCAAAGTGAATTTGCTAAACTCACAACAACAACAACAACAACAATGCGCAATGATGCGCAGGAGAATAAGATGTGGATAAAGGAGAGGATGGAGAAGGAGAAGGATACAGATACGGAGACGGAGACGAAAGAGCAGGATGATGTTGATGGAGCTGAGAAGCAAGGACCATCAAGTGATATTAGTGCTACTACCATCACCGATAATAACAAGAAGCAAACACCAGTTAAGACTACAACAACACACATTAAAAACCACATAAAAAAGCAACAATGTGAGCAGCAGCAGCAAACTGGCGATGATAATGATGATGATGATGTTAAACTATTGGATAGTATTAGTGATTTAAATGAAAAGCTACCTGAAATTTATGAGACTGCAAATATTGTTGTCGACTCAGCGGCAGTGCAACCAACAACAACAGCAACAGCAACACCAGCAGCAGTAGCAGCAGCAGCAACATGCCCACCAATCGATAATAGAGATGATGATAATGATGATTTGAAAGCGATCAAAAACGCGCCAACGACGACAACTGCAGCTGCAGCTGAGGAGACAACAATGCGAACGACTTTTGGTAAAACACACGAACAGCAAACACAACAGCAACAGCAACAGACAGTCGTCTACAGCAAACCAACACGTAATGTTTATTTTGCACTCGATGCATATCAGAACGACGAGGATGCCGACATAGACGAGGATGAGGACGATGACGATGACTACGATGAAGATGACGAGGGAGAAGGAGAGGATGAAATGGAGCCACAGTGCAATAGCTCAACAGTGTTTAAGCAACCGCTGCCATCTATTTCCAGTGCCTATGCACGAAAGCAGCGCCAGCGGCAGCAGCAGCAACGATACATTGTGCCACGGTACCAAGGTCAGGGTCAGGGTCCGGTCTCGGTGTCGGTTTCGGGTCAAAGGCAACCAGAAAACTGGCGCTATCGCACTCATCACTCGGAGCAGCAGCAGCCGGCCGCTGGCTATCGGAGGTACCGCCCGCCCTTTAGCACTGGCGGCGGCGGTGGCCACTACGGCAACCAGCAGCGGAACTATTTGGGTAGCTTCTCGCACAGCGGCGGTGCCGCTGGCTACAAGGTAGCTCCATTAATGCAGCCACCACCGCAGCGAAACAACAGCGCTGGCAGCAGCAGCGGCAGTGGCGGCTCCCCCCCATCCGATGAGCAGTCAACGTTGCCATCATCCGAGATCCGCAACTGGCGCCAGGACTGCGTCTATGCAAACGCCCCCCCAATGCGCAGCTGTGGAATGAATCAGCCGCACTCGCAGTCGCGTGCCGCTGTGCATCGGTCCCATCATCAACAGCAGCCACGAATTGGCAGTGGTCGCTTTGCCCATTCACAACCGGTCCATTTGCAGGCAGCCCAGCTGATGGAGGAGCTGCCCAACATCCGCATTGGTCTTTCGCCGCCAAGCGAGAGCTTGCTGCTGCAGCGGCGTATGCGGCAGCAACAGCGAGCCCACGATCTGTCAGAGTATTGTGAAGCTGCAACTGCTAGTGGATAGGCTAGTGGCCCCATGCCCTATGCCGCCTTTCCGCTATTCGAAATGTGTATCTTTTTTTTCATAACTGCGCCAAAATGCATAGTTTTGTGGCGTTTTCTACGCACATTCTCAAATTCAACTTTCCAGTTCTATAACTTTGCTTTGTTTGGTGCAACATTTCATTAAACCGTGAAACGCAAAAGCGAAAAATCCTACTTAAAATTCCGTCATTGTAACAGATACAAATACAGATACAGATATAAAATTGTGGTAAGGAAGGAGCAAGAAGATTGTAAGAGCGAATGGAATTGGCCTTCAAAGAGCAATTGTCTACGCTGTTTGGAAACGAAAAGCCAAAGTCGTTCAAGATAAAAAAACGTACTTTTTTTATAAAAAAGATTCAAAAATTGTAATTTGTATTGAACTATAATTTTTTATTATGAAAAATAAAAACGAATACAAGAAGTGTTTAAGCGAGAGATGCATTAACAATTTAACATTTTTCTGTCCTATAATCCTGTACTATTTCCATGTAACTTCTGACAATTTGTGTAGTCTCTTTATGTTTCGAAAAACCGATGGCAAAAGAAAGAAATCGAGTTCAATAATTATAAAGAAACACATCCAAACAGCCACAGGCATAGCTTAAGCGATAACTAAGATATTTTCAAGAAACTCCGGCGAGCAGATATGTTTATTCCAGTTTCAAGTCTGCCCTTCGTCACATTTGTTGAAATTTCTTGGTCCGCTACAAGCATTCTTTCGAAAACTTTTGGAGAGTGTATATTTTTTTAAGCCCTGACAAAAGAAAAAGATTCTACATTGAAATGTACACCCCCACTAACACACAACACAAAAAACACGAGCACTATAGAGAAACCTAAGGGTTCTGTTCTTGACATTTAACGATGCTGAACAATTTTTGCTGGGCGTAAATAAAGGTAAAACAAACAAACAAAAGAAATTGTGTTAAATACATAATTATGATAATATTTAACAAAAATTGTGATATAAAATGTAAATGTAAATGCACCTGAAGAAATCTATCTATCAAATGACGCTGTGCCATCAACAACAACAACAACAACCACACCACACTTCAAAGTACTGTTAAGGCCGCCAGAAGGAGGAGGAGGAAGTTTCCACAATCTTTATTTGTTTACGTCCCACAAAATCAATGTCAAGTGCATCAATCCATCAATACTTCTATTTTTCCAGTAAACTGTAACTTACACTAAAAACTTCCATCTAAAACAAAACAAAAAAACCCAACAAAAATACAAAAAAAGTATAAAAAAACTCAAAAAATCCTTATTATAAAATCTAAAAATGAAACGAAGATGAAACGATGGCAAAACAGCATCGAGTTCGAGTTCAGTTAAAGTTGAAGAACATACAATTTATAAAACGACGGCGTCCAGAACACTTTTAACTATTGATCTATTCCTACAGAAGCAATTAGGTTTGCATTAAAACAATTTGAGCATATGGAATCGCATTCGTTTTTATTGGTTAAGCTGTGAGGAATGTTTCGCAACGAAACAAAAAACAAAACAAAAAACAAATTAACTAAGATACGATACTACTACACTCATTTGAGATGAAATCCTTAGTTTTCGAATGTCCGTTAAACTTACGTTACGAGTAATCTATTAAGCTGTTGAACACGAACCGAACCGAACCGAACACTGGTTAAGAGCTGCTTTAGAGAGAGTGTCGACAAAAACAAGAGACCGACCGGACAGGGGAAAGTGGGGAGTAAAAGTGCAACTAATTGATAAATCAACTGAATAATACAATTAATTGAAATGTTTGTATGACAAATTTGTTTAAACATAATTGCTGCAAGAGCTATAAATAAAAGGAAAATAAAAATGCGACAAGGATAAAGTAAACCTTCAACAAACGAAAGAGTCGATATTGTTTTATACATAAAAAAAAGTCAATAAAAATGCAAAATATACAAAATGTTAAATCTTGTGTTGTTAGTCTCAAAGTCGAGCATCAGGACTTCAATTATTTAATGCATATATGGCCGTAAAAAAACAAAGAAAAAGCTCAATAAACAGATCAATCAGCCAACTGAAACTGTTTGTTTGATTGTACCTACATGTGTATGTTACCGGCCGAGGGACGCTGCCGCATGACGCACCGGCAAGAAAGTTAGATGTTAGAACTAAACTAACTAGCATGCATTCAAAACACAAATACAATTACTTATCTTGGTTAAGGCATGTGATTTAAGAAGAGCAACGAAACTAGTGGTGGATATGTTATGGTATAGGACCAGACCAGACCCTAAAGTGTTCCTACAAGGAATAGTTAATCTACGCCCCATAAATCCGTGTTGAGGGGCGCAGTTCTATAATTCCCTGCGTCAGACTTGCTAACTTATGGATAGGAATTATAAACAATTCATCCCAGATGGGGGATTTAGGATTCGAACAAAGTAGATAACGAACGGAACGTAAGATTTTTGAATTTAGGTATCGGGCCACAAATCAGCTGAGAAGAAAATTTATCGATTTCAGAATTTCATGGGTGTATGGGATTATTTGTATACGGTCACACTGCTTCGCGAGTAAACTATGGTCTAAAAATTAATAATAATAATTTTCGATGTTAAAAAGGGGTTCAGGTGAAGAAGCAGCAGCAGGTGGGTCGAAATTTCCACAGCTGTTTGGATAAGTGTGCAATCTGCTGCCTAAAACTGGCTAATTGTTGGTCATTAGTTGGACGAAAAATGGCCACTGGCCAATTGGAGTGTGTATTCCATGGTTGGAGTAAAGTATTTTAGGGTATTCATTCGGTTCGATGTACGTATTTTCACTGCCTTTTCAAGTGACAGTTTTGCTTCTGTTTCTGTTCTGTCCCCTTCCTGATCCTGCTCCTCCCTTTTCAAAAGTAATAAATCAATATTGCAAATTTGTTGTGCGTGCAATGTTGTGCGGATGTGTGTAGGCAATGTAATATATTTACATATGTGTACATATGTGGACACATATAGTATGTATAGCCAGCCGAGACTGTTCTGTCGTTATATGTTGCTTTACCATACACATTCGAACAGATGTATACTCGTATTCTGTGCTTTCAGGACAGTGTAGGAACGATTCCTTGTGATTCGGATTTGTCTGACAAATAATCCACAAGCAGCCATGGAAAATGAGCAGGAGGAGTTTGGACACAGACATGCACACATGCAGCATACACACCATCCACGAGTTTCCATGTCGTACGGAAATGTGGGTCAGAATCCAGACCAGGAGACTCGTAAGGGGGAGTCTTAGTTCCAGTCCAATTATGGGTAATACTAATATTTTGGAACCCTTGCAGATGGCGGCCCTGCGTATACTCTATACTCCATATATGAACAGCCGCGTGATAGTTACATGCTAATGGGCCCATACATGTCGACGCCCGCCGAGTCGATTAGTAGCCGTGCTACCACGTTCCAGTCCCACACACCGCCTTCCTATACGGCCCTGGTGGCATCACATCGCGAAATAGCCAGCTCAAGCTATAGGACGAGTTCTGGTCGGTGCGACAAATGCAGTTCTGTCATAACTTTGTGCCGCTGTCAGGTGTCACCTGCGGCCAGCACCAGTCGGTACGCAGACCAGGTGCATTCCACTCAGAGCCTGCCTCAAGAGTCACCGCCTCAGTTCTTTGAGCTGCCCTCATCGTCGACATCGACTGGGTCGACTCTGCCAACGACGACGGTTAACTCCGGTCCCGGACTCATTCCAAATCCCAAACAACAGAAGACTGAAACACTGAGGGAGCATTTGTCGTTGCAACAGGACAATGACAATGAGAATGAAAATGCAAATGCACATGCACATGCAGTGGTGGCCTCTGCCTCTGGCAACGGCACTTGGCCATCTGCAGCAATTGAAGACCACGCAATGGATGCCTCCGCAGTGGTTTACGAGATGCCCTCCAGTTCGCTGCTGAGCATCAGCCCCTTTGAGGCCAGTAGTAGCAATATTCCCCAGAGCTCTGGTCTTTCCAGTGCCTACGATGATGTGACATCCAGTGCTTCTGATACAGAGCACGTTCAGTTTGCAAACACTCGCACTACCAATACGACTACAACCACGTCGGCGATACAGGCTCACAAGAAGAAGGCGATGCAGGCAGCAAATCGCTCCGGAAACGGAAGCGGTAACGGCAACGGCAACGGGGATGCTTCTTCCTCCTCTTCGGCCACTGAACTAGACGCCACACCGAGCACTAGTGCCCAAGCTCGGCGACAGCAGACAAATTTATTTAATAGCTACCAGCAGCTCGCGAACGTCTTGGAGCCTGAGAACGATAGTAGCGATGATGGCTGGGATCTTCGCATGCGTAATCGTCCTCCCCAATCGAAACCGGCTGAACCTGTTGTACGGGGCAACAACACCAACAAAAACCTGACTGATCGGCATACAGATCATAACTACTACAATAGCCGCAGAGATGTGTCGACGAGGGCGCCTCCAGATAGCACTTTTGTGTCCGCCGCTTCTTGCTCTACGGCTACACACACAACCTGCAGTGTGGATTATGGGACTAGAGATCTGTGCGGGGCTCTTCGACCGCCTCAGAGATCGTCTGATGCGTCTGCTGCTGATGCTCTTTCTCCGTCCACTACATCGGATCAGGAGCAAGAGCATCAGCAGCAGGAGCAGGGGCAGGGGCAACAACAGGAGCAGCAGCAGCGGGTGCAGCAGCAGAGACGGAGACAAGAAACCACAGGCCAACGAAGCTCCCATGGCGCCAATGTAAACAGTGGTATTATTCGAAATCGTGTGCGTTCCATTGACGAAATTGCGCATCCACCCAGAAAACAACCGCGCTTGGAGGTTCAAGGAGCATCCTCTTCCCACTCCACCACAAAACTGTCGCCGACGAACTTTAATTCCTTTTTGCCGGGCAGGACAAGGCATCCCACCTATGCCGAGCCCGCGGGTAGCTCCTTACAGCAGGTAAGTAATTGCATACTAGAAACATCCTATGCAGTCTTATATGTTTGCCACCTCCTACAGACCTCACAGCAGACGCAGCAGCCCTTGAACGGATCTTGCGTAATTACCTATGTGGGTAGACCAAGAGAGAGGCAGTCCCCTGGGGAGACCCAGAATCAGGCTTCCACTTCCACGGGCAGGCGTAACAATTTGAACCGCGGTGATGTTGTGCTCACTGCTCCAGATCTGCAACTGGACGATTGGTCATCCGACTCCAATGATGACGATGTGGTGTTTGTGCACTCGACACGAGAGCCAATACTCTCGATTGATTTGACATCTGATGATGATGCCGCCGTTAATGAAACACAACAGCAGCGAGCCCGGGAATGGGCACGGGAACATGAGCATATGTGGGAACAGCCACTTGCAGCCCTGGAACGACGTCCCATTTTCAACTATGCCTACTCCATTCCATACCCTCGAAGGGACCGCCGGACAGAGCCGAGCAATGCTGGCACCTCATTTGGCTTCTATAGCGGA